AGAAGAAATGGCAGAGGGTGGCTAAGTTTAGGCTGGGTGAAGGCATGAGAGGGGGTAGATATTGGGAAGGGGAGGAGGAAAGAAAGTGTAGGATGTGTGGAGAAAGAGAGGAAACTTGGGAGCACATATGGGAGGAATGTACAAACTGGGGGGTGGAAAAGGGGTGGCGAGAGATGATAGGTGAGGTACTGGGAGAAGAAGGAGAAGGTGAGGTGTGGATGAGAAGATTAGAGGAGATAAGGGAGGGAGGTGGATGGCTGGAAATGGATGAGAGTTCGGGTGAGGAAATGGAAAGTGCAGCGGAAGCGGAGGTCCAGAGATGAGTGAAGATGGATGATTGGATGATTGAATGTTGTGATTTCTCTCTTTCTCAGGCGTATCATGCGTTTTCTGGTGCGTTTTTTGTGTGGAATAGCTTGCGTTTTTTATTTTTGTCTTTTTGTTGTAAGCGGAGCGGGAGTCCGCTATGTACCCCGTAAGGGTTTAATAAACACATACTACTAAATATTTATAAATATTTATCTAATATTTATAAATATTTATCTAATAACTTACTAATATTGTATGTTGTCTGGGTTAATATTTTTAATTTTAACAGTACTTTGCGTAAGTATTTCATCTCTTAGGAAAGTATTATATATTAGTATTTAAATATTGATAATGTTCTGCGTAAGTATTTTATCAATGGACGAAGTATTACATATCAATATTTAAGTATTGAAATCAATCATAAGATAGGATTTGTAACATTAAATATTGAAATACTTGAGTACTAAAAGCTGTATTTGAATCACAGAATATTACTAAATACTGTACTTTTAATACTGAAAATAAGTAATTAATCAATGATTCTTAGTATGATATTTCTATAAGGGCCCTCCCAGCACAAGATTAAGAGCCACAAGATTATTAATTATTATGTAATATTTAATTAAAAAATTTTCTTTATTAATAAAAACATGAAAGGTATCATGTTTTACACTTATATTGTCCTCCAAACATATTATTGCAACTTTTATAGTCCATACATGATTTTGTTGCAGCTCAAACAATAAATGTAATAACGATTTATTTTTATTTTTTATTCATCAACAATTTATCTAATTATTTAAATGAGATTATAAGATCTCAAACGATGTAGAAAGAAAAAAGAAAAGTTCTCTATGGCAATTTTTGTGGAAAACACGCTTTAAAAATCATATTGATAACGTAGACAGCTTAAGGATACTCCAATGTTTAACGACCCGGGAGCACGGGTTCTCGTTATTCGATCGAATTCAAACTTGATAGGAATTATTTTTTTGTTATATGGAAACTTTTTAAAAGGTGTGGCGGAAAAAATTCGAAAAAAAATTTTTTACCAAGAGTAAATAAGGACCTATTGTCGAACAGTATTATCGAAAACGATCCTACGCAGAATTATACGTTACATTGAAAATATCGTGTTTAATTATCGTCAATTTTTCTTGTTTCCTTCTCTATTACTCAAAAAATTGTTTAACTTCTACGATAAGATTATCTCGAATAGTTACGCTTAATTCATATAACATATTTTATTCAACCGTGATCAATCAACCATAAATCTCATACCTGACAATACATCTCGTTGAGAAATATCATAAAAGCTGAATATCGTTGGCAACTCATGTCGTCATGTAATATCCTAGCGCGATCTTGGTACCATTGTTGACATGTATTTAGCAAGGATTCCAAAAATGTTTCTTTTGTTTCTTTCTAACATATAAAACATACTCCAAGTTAAATATATATTTCTTCAAGAACCACACGCACACATACACAAATGTTAAGATTACCGTTCAAATAGATATACTATCAATTATGCAATTTTCTTACACATATTTGTTCTAAGAATTATATCTTTGTTCTCAAACATATCCATATAAATAAAATGGAAACTATACGTATGCACAATATTACTTTTAAACTCAAATATGTTTATATCTTTGAAAATTGTAAAATTAATAAATAAATTACTAGATATCTTTTAAATATTTAGATATTTGGATATCTTCAAGTTATAAGAGAGAGAGAGAGAGAGAGAGAGAGAGAGAGAGAGAGAGAGAGAGAGAAAGAAAGACAAGAGAAATATACTAACCTCTATAATTGTAATGCAAATTTTAGCTGCCGGCTCAGCGTACTTACGATTCTCAACTACTCTTTCCAAGATGTGTCGCACTAGCTCCATTAGTGTCCTTGCATTCAAAAAATTTGGATCTAGTAAAGAAAACATAGATTAGCAACATAGATTGCTAATAAATTATTGTGGAAGATTCAATATATAATAGTGCCTATTCTCGCTACGTTCTCGAGACATAATTATATCTATAATTATATCTAGTTATCAATAAAGTTTTAGGTATACAAGTGAATTTGGTGCTTTTTATATACAATTTTATATTCAGATATTTCCTTAAAAAAATCCATCGAAGATAAATCTGGAGAACGAGGTGACCATTGGATTAGTTTATATGCATTAATAATATTTTCCAAAAGTATCCAAAAGATCCAAAAGTATCCAAAAGATTACAATAAAACGCACTTTACTTATAAATACTGTTATTTAAAATAATATTATATTTTTTATATTAAATATTAACAAAAGTGACATTTGTGATAATGCGTTGAATTCATCTTACAATCATCTACAATAATATGTAAAAAAAGTGCATGCTACCATCTAAAAAATTCAAAGTAATCTTGATTTCTTTATGAAAAAATTTTTTTTAATTTTTTGTTATTGCAAGTTGTAGCCTGTACGAGGTAGTTGAAAATTTACTTTACCACCATTTCCTTGAACTATCGGAAGTGTCTAAACAAAGATTTATTTGTACAAGAACAGAACGACCTTAATCATTAAAATATCTTTTATTTCGCTCTATAGAATTCTACTGCTGACGAATCCATCTGTCAATAAAAATTTTATGGTCTTGAGTTGAAAAAATTTTTGATATTTTCTCCTAGATTTGTTTTACAATTTTGAAATGAGTATCAGCCAAGTGATGTTAAAGCTGTTGAAACAAGTAATAATCTGAAGGGATTAAATCTGATAAATATGTCGCGTAAAGAATAATTTCCCAGCAAGGAGAAAATTACTTTCATTGTCTCTTTTGCGCCATGTGGCGTGTCATACTGTAGGGTGACTTATCCTTTTCTGTTTTCTGTCCAGTAGATTTTTACGCTCGAAATCGTCTCCCGATAAATTGTAGATCGTGATCTGTATTTGTGTTCTAAATAATTATTTTGGCGAAATTTTCACCCAATAAAACTGCAGCAGTTTTTCATCTCTGGATTTTTAAGGTGCATCGAGATGTTGTTACAGTCAAAGTCTTCTAAACGAAATTTCTTGTACCATTTATTGTATGTTTTTTTTTTTTAAATTATACATAACTTCACTTAAGGCAAACGAATCCTCCTAATTACTTTAGCGGCATTCTTTTTTATTCAAACACGAAAAGAATACAGTGTCGAATATGCTTTTTTAATGGCGTCCTGTTTATTATTATTTGTGATAGAAACTATTTGTTACTATTTGTTACTATTTGTTACTATTTGTTACTTATTTATTTGGGCGAAATAGCACTTTTGTACTCGGTTTCTGGACTCAGTTCAAGTAATCGTTACATTGAAACAACCGACTTTGAAATATTATGAAATAAACACACATACAGAATGTCCTAGACTCTTCTCCGCAATTTTTGTAGAAACGTAGAACAGATCGAAGTAAACATAAAAGTTCTATATTGTTTTGTGATATTCCCAGTAATAGTCGAGATTAAAGAAGATTGGTATATGATCACGCGCGATAAGGTAGATAAGCTGTAGTGGCGATGTATACTATTGTGTGCTTATACGTTACATCAAATTGAACAAAAAAGCCTTTTATCAGTTTGTAAATAACTACATAGATTTTTATTTACTAATGAAAGAAAATTGTTACATGACTGTTCGCAATAATAATGCACAAATCTTTTTTAATTAATATCTCGATATTTATTGCGAATATCGCAAAACAATATGGGACTTTTGTGTTGACCACAATCTATTCTACGTTCTTACAAAAATTGCGCAGGAGAGTCTGGGACATTTTGTATATGTGTGTACAGCGTAACACACGCACACGAATACACACAGTAACAGTCCGTACGGTTTTTTAGACACTTCTGACGGTTTAAGGAAAAGATCGCAAAGTAAATTTTTAACTCACTTCGTGCAGGCTATAACTTGCAATAGCAAAAGATAAAAAATTTTTTTATAAAAAATCAAGGTCACCTTAAATTTTTTAAATAGCACCATGTACTTTTTTATATAATATCATAGAGGACTTTAAGATGAATTCAATGCAAATATCACAAATGTTACTTTTATTACCAACAATAGAAAATAATAGCAAAACTCAAACTTATGGAAGCAAATATTCATTATTGTTTGCCTTCTTTTGCAACAAAAAATTCTGCTTTTTTAACAAACTACTGTGCGTAGCAGTTATTATGCTATTTAGATCAAAATTTGCACAAGTTGTAATTATCTTGTCTCGAAGATTTTGTTGGTGTTTGGTACACAAGAGTTTTCAGATATTCCCATAAAAAAATCCATCGAAGATAAATCTGGAGAACGAGGTGACCATTGGATTAGTTTGTGTATTAATAATATAATTTCCAAAAGTATCCAAAAGATAGCAATAAAATACGCACTTTACTTATAAGTACTGTTATTTAAAATAATGTTATATTTTTTATATTAAATATTAACAAAAGTGACATTTGTAATAATGCGTTTAATTCATCTTACAATCATCTACAATATTATGTAAAAAAATGCATGCTACCATCTAAAAAATTCAAGATAACCTTGATTTCTTTATAAAAAAAAAAAATTTGTTACTTTTCGTTATTGCAAGTTGTAGCCTGTATGAAACAGTTAAAAATTCACTTTGCCATCTTTTCTTTGAACCATCGGAAGCGTCTAAAAAAATCGTGCGGACCGTTACGCTAAACAACCTGTACATACATAATATATATCTGCCCTACTGAAAAATTTCTGTTAAGATAACAATAGAATTCCCAATTCAATTCTCAGTTGAATTCTCAATTGAATTCTCAAATGTGGTTTCTGCAAAAATTCGCATGTAAGATCTCAATTGAGATATTTCTGATATCTGATAGAAATAATTTATTGAAAATATAATGAACTTTTGCTGAAATGCTTTTGAAAAGCATTCACAATTTTAATCCAATTTCATTAAAATTTCATTATAATTTCATTAATATTTCGATAATATTTTATTAA